CTGACGCGTCTGCCTCCGCGACCCGAAAGGAGAAGCGGCGATGGAAGATGAAGATGAAGATGAAGATTTTGCATACAGTTCAAGTCAGTCCTGTTAGAACATTTATTTTCTCTTTTGCGGAACAACGGACAACAGTGTCATTAAGAAACCAAAATATTAAACGAAACGGAGTCTGGATTTTATAAATTGAAGGTACGGTTTTTTTTTTCATTTATCTGTGACGTGTCAACTCGATTGGGATGGTTCGTTCTTTAGTGCCCTTGACGATATTCTTCGATGCTTCAATGGTGAGGACTCCGTTGGAGTTCAGGCTTGAAGAAACTGTAGCTGGATCAATTTCTTTCGGAAGTATGTATTTTCTGGTGAATGACCTGGCAATGAAGCCATCCTTGTCCTCTTTCTCGTCATGCTTGCCTTCGACAACAACCATGTTTTCCACGATCTTCACCTAAATTTTAATTTTATTTAAAAATAAAATTGTCATTTATGCTGCTTTATGATTAACAGTGTAACCAAGCAATATGTTATTTATGTCATCGCATCGGCATTTTTGCTGAACAGATTTAAGACAGCTTTAAAAACTCCAAGTTTCTAAATTTAAAGTAGTTTAGCCAGAGAGATTGATTTAAATTAAGTTAAGATTTTGGCATTACGTTAATATTTTTTGAAGGCTATTACCGTCAGTTCATTAGGAGAAAATTGCGATACTTCGAGGTTAACGGAGAATCTGTCAGCTTCGTTCTTCACGGCTGAGGTTCCATGAGTAGTCTCAGTTGTATTCGGCGAACACTGCATGTTGATATTCTGGGATCGCCTCCAGTATGGCGTATTTGTCCAAGCGTCCATCATTGGGTCAGTAAGAAGCTCGCGAGCTGTGTCTAAAGTTCTTCGTCCCTCAGAAGCAAATGTAGATCTTGGCCAGTCCATATCATTGGTTGCAGACCAGAAATGGCGGCGGAAATCGTTGCCGTTAGTCATCTCTTCACAAATTTAACACAAACAACTCATAAACCTGTTGCCCAAACCTTTCTATAGTTTCTATTAAGGTTAATAAGAAAACTGGTTTTTGCATTTAGAAACTAGGTTTTTCAAACCCTTCAGAAACTGTTGTGCCTACCGATGTCGCGTGAAACCATGTAAAACCAAAAAAAGCCGCATACTCAAACGAAGAGTGATTGTCAATGATAAATTAAGAAGGAAATATTAATTGGTCAGTACATTAATTAAGGTGTGTGGTTGCCCTATCGTCAAACTTGTTAACGCTGTACCTACCGGAGTGATCGCATACAATCTTAACTACTTGTTATACTCTACGTAAATCAGTTGATCAATTTTACCAACTGCATTTGTTATAGTCGTAGTTTTTTGTTCCTGTGTACTGAAGCATTATCTGAAATGGTACGTTTTTCTACGTCATTTAAGCAACTGCCGTATATCTTTTGAGATGCAAAAAAATCAGTCGATAATGAATCCATAAAGTAGTTCAATCTACTTGGTCGAAACAAGATTTCGCATAGCATTGCATCCTTCGGTTGTGCGTGATTGATCATGAACGGTGGTACTGGAAAACGTTTCGATGCATGCCGAATCATTTTATTCGTTAAAGCCGTTATGTAGTCGTCAAGAACGATTGATGGGTGAGTAGACCAGAGTATATTGACAACCCCCTAGCTCCTGAAAACTGAATTGCTATAGCGAATGAAATGGTGCGACAGAGGTCAGTATTGCAGATACCCCAATACCAGGGGAGACGTGGCCTGTTGAAGTAGCCGCGTCGTGCCTACAGACGAGGCCCTGTTCAAACGCAGCTAAACTGGGTTCTTCAGACGTTGGAAGCTCTGTCTACACTAATGCGTCTGCCTCTGCGACCCGAAAGGAGAAGCGGTCATGGAAGATGAAGATGCTACCGTACCTCGACGTACAATCTCATATCTCTGATGAAAATTACATGTGCGATGAATGAATGTCTCTTGTAACAAAGTGCGAAAGATATCAGTTACTGTTATAGTGAAAAGCATGATGATTATCGTTGTGCTTGACGTCTAGCAAGTGCCTGGTTGTGAATCACATGTTTCTACGGGGGTAAGCCCACTTTTGACCGGATTATGAGTGGCGCGCTTCCCTAACCACGGGATTTCATGACATTCTACCGTTTACGAGCATTAGCCCACCATTTCAGGGTTCATGGTAGGTTTGCGTGGCTACTGTAGCGGTGAATTGAAACATGTCCAACCTTCACTCTGCCGAATAGTGCCTTATTTTGACGGTTATGTATTTTTGGCACAAGGAAAACAGGATGGTTTTTACTGAGCAGGAATGAGAAGAATAGTTGCAGCAGGGACAGGGGCATGTGTCTTTTTCTATAATACAGTAATAAATGCCTGTTAACTGAAGTAGTATTAAAAATTGGGAATTAATTGCTATCACAGATCGATTATATGCTTATTCAAACGGCTGAGGGTGACCACAATGATAAGGAATC